TACTGTCTGATTTTGGTAAGAAATGTTAATACAAAATCAATTTAAAGTATTTATTTGTAGAATTTTAGCTCTTAATTCATTGCTTAATACGTATATTATTAAATACATTCATATCCATAAAAAATAAGAAAAATCTTGATTTTAATTATCAGCATTTTAAAATATTACAAAAATTAACCTGTATGCAGTATCTTTTTTTAAAACATTTTTTTTACATCTTTAAGACATACACATTTCAGGAGATATAAAATGCTCCATAGAACAGTAACAAAGCAGAGGAAGTGTCTTTAATCCCCTATTTAAAATAGGCCAGATAAAATCCTCTTTTAATTGAAGCAGGGAGATTATTTAAGGCTATCAGAAAACAGATTCATTACAATTTTGCAGTTCAATTATATTTAATTCCTAAAGATGTGAAAGATACAAAATTTAACTAGAAAAGGTTTAGCTATAAATGACACACACACACACACACACACACACACACACAAAAGATACAACTTTTAGTAGACTTAATGGCAAAGGTGCAACTTATTTGAGTCTGCATTTTCAGTCACATAAAAATTGATTTTTTAATGTACAACAAAAATATATGTGGCAATCTATTGATGGGGGGAAAGTACAATGTCTGGATTCAGAGCTGTGGTTTCAATGTAATATAATATATTGTAACCTTACTCAGGAATAGAAGGACTACTGTAATATACAATCAGACATAATGATAGCAAGGCAAATTTATTCTATTTGTGTGATTGAACTACAGTAAATACGTAACTAAATAAAAAGGTTTTGCTTCATTTGGTTAGAGAGATCTCACTTCAATCCCCTATTTGTAAAATATTTCAACATATTATAGATTTAAGACAAACATGCTTACTTTATAGAATGAGCTATTCAACACTATTTAAAGGCGATACCCCAGATACCCCATCAAAATATGGATAATCATTAAAATTAAAGTAAGAAAGTGTGGGTGTAGAAGGGAGGACAAAGATACAAAGAAAAAGCCAGTAGTGGTTTTATTTGTGTAGAATTGTTGCCATGGAGATTTAAACTAATCAGGTAATAGTATTCTCACATTATTTTGCCTTGAAGGACATGTTTGAGCTTCAGTTCAGTAAGCCATATCCAACTTTGGTCTCATCGAGATATGCTAGATCAGATGTCTCCAAACTTGGCAACTGTAAGCCATTCTGTTGAATTCTGTAAGTTGAAATCCACAAATCTTAAAGTTACCAAGTTTGGAAACCACTTTGCTAGATCCTTTCTAACCTCTATCTGTGTTCATGTTTGCTGGATGAGAAGGGAGCGTCAGCAGAAGAAATTTAGAAACTTCTAGCAATTGAAAGATCAGCCAAGCTGATTTTTCTCAATTACACTGTTAGACAAATACATAGACATTAAATTAGGTTTTATTTTTTAATTTCCTTATCTCCACAGATACAACACGGTACTAAAACCAGAAGAAGTAAAAAGAATCAATTATTTTGGGAGGAGATAATTCAGCATTCCCTTATTCATCTCTAAAAACCATAAGACTTGATTCCCAATAAAATATATTTTGGATTTTTTTTTCTAGGTCTCTGCTTAGCCAAGATAGCCAAGATTGGCTGGTGTTGTCATTTGCTATAAATGGAAAACCTCATCCTGATGTAGCACTTGAACAATAACCTGCTAAACTATTGAATCACAGAACTAGATTTCTGCCCAACCACCCCTGTGCTCTACAATATTGTTTTTCTCTTTCATTAAAATAGGGGGGGACCCACCACAAGCATCAATAATTATGACAGACATTTAAGCACTTAATATCATTTCTCAAGTTTTTGGTTACTTTTAAAAATAACCTCATTAAGGTAATCCAAATTTATTGTCTGCCTTCATTCCATTGATAATTATCCATACAAAACACATTGAGAATTCCTCCGGTGTAAACCTTAAACTGGATTGCACTGCTGATTCACATCCTCTAATATCACATTCTTCATTAAAAGAATACCCAGTGTGGAGTTCTAAATGAAAATATGACCTTACTAATCAAAGACATTTTCTTAGTTATAAATACTACAATATCAATATTACACAGTAGTGTTTTTAAATAGAAAATGCACCAGCTATACTTTGTAACCAATAGCAACTAGAATGTAGGAAGTAACAGGCTACAACTAGATATTTTCTGAATCTGGGATGTAGCCAGAAACCCATCCCTTATTCAAAGAAAGGATTCCTACAATCATGAATCAGATCAAATAAATTATTCATTTAGTCATTTACAGTAACTGGGAAAAGGAGAAAGGAGCTTTGTTCTGAACAAAGCTGCAAAAATATAAACATATATTAGAAGTTTTCTCTTAAGATCCATTTTCCTTTATCTAGTCCATGTACTGAGTGCTTATTAATTCTAGAATACATTCCCAATTTATCTAGAGGAGCAAGGCTTTGTTATGTAAACATGTAAGGATTGCCCAAATTCTATCAGACTTCATATCATACTATAATGAACAAATCCAAGGCCCCTTCCAACTCTGTTATTCTGTTATTCCAGTTGGTAAAAACAAGCACATAGAGCAGAATGAAATTAACTGAACCACAGAAAATATATGTAGCTCAGGATTGAACTGTGGAATTCTTGGTGCTCTCTTATTTTGGTTGGTTGCTTACAGACATTTCATTACCCAACTAGGTAATATCATGCTCCCCCACATTAAGTGAACAAAATAACTGAGTTGGAATGTAAAATCATTGCATGCAGGTCAGTGAAAATGATAAACAGTAAGTGAAAACACACAGATTAATCTCATGGCAGTTAACTGAAGAGATGCCATGCTTTGGAAAGGGGTTCAAATGGCTATGATCCAAAAGTCCCATAGATTTCCTGGACCCATTCCTCAACCCTCTACTTGAGGCTGTTCTGCAATGGAGAACCCTATCTGCTTAGGTTTCTGTTTGTGTCTTTTCCCACTTCTACAACAGTGTTTGTGAAGATTTCCAGAATACATCAAGATACTTTTGCTTCAGACCTGCTGCAAGTGAATTAGAATTCTGGAAACCTCTTTCGGGGCCTTCATGTGGATGTTAAATAGGAATAAGGGCAGATTGGAGCCCTACAGCATGTTGTAATGAAATAACCATGGGATGACTGTTTATACCTTCACCACTAAGTGAAACTGCCTGCTAAGGTAGCAGTGGAATCAACATAAAACACGACAATAATTCCCAAACAAAACAAACTGGGTCATTAACAGAGGTGGGTTGCTCCTGATTTGGCCTGGATCGGGCAAACCGG